GGGCATTTTTGATGTGTTGGGAGAAAGTGGCTACTTGTTGATTTGTTGATCTTGGTGGCCTAAAACCTGCTTGTTCACTCCTAAGAATATTGTTGGTCTCAAGGAACCAGGTCAGCCTCCTGTTAACCATTCTTTCCATAAGTTTAGCCAGCACGCTTGTGAGGGAGATAGGCCTATAGTTGTCAAAGTTGCTAGGGTCTTTGCCCTTTTTTAGTACTGGTATTACTATGGCAACTTTCCATTGGTTAGGTACGAGACTGGTCTCCCAGATTTTGTTGTAAATCGTCAGCATGGTTTCCTTGGCTTTTGGTCCCATCCTAATTAGAAATTCTGGATGAATACCGTCTTTGCCAGGTATTAGCTTGATAATCCAATCACTGGGTAAATGCTAAGCTCCAATTGAGTGAGCACTTTTCGAAAAAATGTTACTTATCGGCTGGAGATATTGAGAGCGAAAAATCCCCTCAAAACTAGTAAAGACTCTAAGCAAGAAATGCAGCCTTAAAAATTCTAATGTTCAATTCTTGAAGTGGGTGCAGTAAGTGATGGTGACAACAATGTGAATTTGTACCCTTCACATTGGTCTAATAAAAAAGCATTATATGTTAATCAAATCTTAAACTACATCCTCAAAACCTCAAAGTTTCCCATGCTTCTCAGCAAAAAATCCTGGTATAAAATGCGTTACCACCGCATTCCATTTGTTTAAAATGAATTGACCTTGAAGCAGAAATAAACGCAAGTTGTCGCTTGATATCTGGAAGGAGAGTGTTGGCCTGTTACTATTAAAGGGCCTTTCTGAATTATACAAAGAGTGTGATGATTAGCCGGGCGAAGTACTAGACTACAAACGCAGACTCAGGCAGACGGAGTTAAGAGCAGAGAAGGTTCACCCGATAAGTTGGGTTGAATTTCTACAGACCGGCTACAAAATAATCCACTTTGCTGTGGAAATTAAAGTACAATTCTAACGGGTTACTTGAGCATGATAGTCATTGTCATAGTCTAGTTTTCTTTATAAAACAACTAAATGTAACGAAACTTGATAATAATGCATAAATGCCTCAAAAAGGTAACGTATGCCAAGACCGGGGAAATTCGTGTGTTCTAAGGTATCTCCCTCTGCTTTCGTTTTTATCAATTTCCCATTTTTTAAAAACAGGTTTTCATATTTAGAGCATTATTCCAACAGAACAGAAAGAGTACATGCAAAACAGGCCAATGGGTGCAAGGATTCGTGAGTAAAGTTTGAAGTATCATCATCATCATTTTATCATTCATAGTTGCCATTTTGGATACAGCTGTTAGGTTAGCCTATAATGAATCCGAGAATCTGGGTTTGGATCTAAGAAAACACAATTCCCAAACTGCAAAAAAGACAAAAAAATGATGCGGAATTTCGTTATTACGTAATCTCTTTTGTAATTCGCTCACTAGAAAAAAAATTTACGAATATGGATTACACTACCCACAAATCGAATCTAAACAAACAACTTATTTCCCCTCACCAATCATGTGATCTATGATCTATTGGTCAAGTCAGAAATTGAACTGGACGGAAGATGAGAGAAGGGAAGAGAGAGAGATGAAACTAGGTTTGTCTTAGCGATGAATGCATTGCCTCAAAAGAAAACGAAGGAGGAAGGAGCGAACCAGGATCAATAAACCGGCTAGGGAAACAGAATGGAAAGAAATAAAGGCATTAGGAATATCCAACAGGTTTCGATTGTCGTAGACAGCAAAAATGAGTGCAAGTCAGCCGCGTGTGTGTGTGTGTGTGTATTCAAGAGGGAAGGTTAGAGGGGAGACGAGGGCAAGTAACTTTAAATAAGATTCTGTTGCTGCTGCTATTGTTGTTCTTGAGTCTCAACGGTGGGTGGTGTGGAGGCCTCTGCCAATGTCTCTGGTTGAGCATGAGTGTCGCTGGAGGAAGCACCTGATTTGGGATCGCTAATGAAACCGTCTACGGCAAGGAGAACGGAGGACGAGTCACCGCTTTCAGAAGTGCTCTGTTGTGGCTTCATGTAGTCAGGGATCAATTTGGCTATGAGTTCGGGATTTGCGGCTCTTTCTAAATGAGCAGAAAAGAAAAGGCATCAGCGATACAAGACATTTATTTGTCGATTAATCAGTAGCAAAAAAAGCATTCCAACATGGTAAAAAACCCATCTAAATTGCAGTTAAGATCAAAGAATATGACAGAGCGATAATTTGGAAGGACTCTCACCATCCTTCACCACTGACCTTTATGTTGTAGGCTTTTCTCCCTGTCAACGGTCATTTAAAAATGCGAATTCTACTCATAGTTTCAAACAAGACTGATAACTTCACAAGACCACAAGGAGTGAGAGTAAAAACCCCAAATCGGATACAACAGTTTTGAAACACAGAGCAAAAAAAAACACTAACAGAAAGTACTGAACTTGGCCTAAGACGAAACGCAGAAAAACCCCTCAGCTCTCTTACACCAGAACACGTACGCAAAAGCAACAAGTTAAGGCAGAATTTTACAACACAACCTTGGGGTTGAAATGCAGCCCCTTCTATTGAAATTGACTGAAAAAACAGATTTCGTAAAGGTAACAAAATTAGCTGAACCCTTCAAAATAAGACTACAATCTATAGGCATGGTGCATACTAGTAGCTCCACGATATTTAAATGCTGGTTTAAATTTTCATTCTCATTTGACAACTAGATTAAATTATAAAAGCACAATATGTTAAGACAGGATAAGAGTACTAGACAGATATGAAGTTAAATGCATCGTTTTATTAGCCGAACACCAGTCATGAATATAAGATAGTGGAAAATTAAGAAGCTTAAGAAAATAAGGAGTCTGGGAAAATTACCGAGATATGAAAATTTTAGATCAAGCGCTCTGTAATGTGACGATAATGTTGCAAGACTTTCTCTTAGTTTGTGGAATATAGCATATACAACCACACGTGATTTCAAAACATGGGCCATGGAAAGAGGTTAAATTTACCTTCAGTTGTCCTGAAGATTAATCCAATGAAATCTCTACCTTTCAAGGACGGATTGGTAGAATTTTACTTTCCTTATCCTACGGTTATTTGAAATTGAAAGCCTTGCATTTTTAGGATTAATACACATTTCAACACAATTATTGCATAATAATTATGGCCGAGCGCATAAAATAAACAAAACATAAATGATATTTTGGCATTTTAATTAGTTCAAAGAGACATTTCTTTCTCTTCAATCATCGACCTTTAAGGCGTTTATAGATTCGCTACCTTTACTCAAGCCACGACTAACGAACTTTACTCTGTTAAAGGTTGCTGCAACAGAGGAGACGAAGAACTTACAACAAAGATGGGGGAGGGGGGAGGATAGGAGCTTTTTCAGCAGAATGACCACAAAATTAGAGAAATAAGATACAAGATTTGGGGCTTGGCTCGAGTACACAAAAAGAGGTGCTCCCTAACGAGACTGGGAATTTTCCCAAAGTCTAACAGAATAAAATCGCAAGTTTGCAGTCAATATATGTTTGGCGCATAGCAACAATGGCATAACAGAAGGACAAAGAGAGACAATGTACCAAAAAGATTGAACGAAAACAGGGACCTGAGTGAGATAGGCAGATGAGATAAGTAGTAGAGAGGTGGACAGGGTGAGACCAAAGTAATCGATACGCCAGTGTGCCTTAAACACCAATAGAGGAGTGCGTTAACGGAGCTCAGTTTGATCAAGTAATCAGATATGGAGGCACATGTGAAGAGTAGTCCTAAGTCATTAAGAGGTTATGGGATTTTCAAACATTTGCTCAAAACACCCTGCAATTACCACCAAATAACCAATATAAGTTAGAGCTTAAACACCTTAAGAGGATAATGAAAAAATAGGAAAAAAACTCTAAAGAGAGGTAGAAACCAGCTATTTGAGCGCAAAACGGTGGTGGATTATCACATGCACAGATCGAATTGACGGCCGTCAAAAATCACTACTTGAAATTCAAAGTTGCACACTGTAGGCGGTTCCTTCCGTCTTGAAGTCAAACAAAATCCCAAATAAGGTGTGCTCTGCTTATTTCTTTTTAAAATAATAAAATACTGGTTAATAATTAAACAAATTACCGGATTAAGAACTATTTTCTAAAGATTTAGACTTGGCAAGGTTTGAAATAGGATCCTTTTCTAATTAGAAAGATTATTAGAACTCAAGAGAAATGTTCACTTACCAGGAAATGAAACGCTAATTATACAAGCATTTTCAAATGTAATGGTGCATCAAATAATCTTAATCTACAACCATGCTATCACACACCACTTTTCTAAGTGTTTAGAGCAAAATCATGATTCTATAATTGATCCATGATTTCAGGAGTTGTGTCAGAACAAGGGATGAATATCGGCACCACGAATATTGACGAAGATTTGACTTACCATCCTCACTAAAGTTGAAGAGGGGAGGAAGGGGTGTTTTGTCAGGCAGTGTGGTACCCTCAAGACGCAATTCATCAAAGAAAGGATGTAGACAGGCTTCTAGGGGTTTTAGTCGTTTCGAGGATGTGTAGTCTAACAGCTTGCTTACCAGTTGAATAGCGTCAGGGGAGGTTTGAGGGCGGAATACCTATAATGAGAATAAAATTATTATTCTATAGACTCTGCTCGGGGGATCAGAAAGATGGATGGCGTCAAAAACAGTAGTGGTTAATCTGGGGACCTGGTTTAATTGATTGATCAGAAATTCTGCCAACTTAGCTTGCTAATAAGAAACTTATTTCGATTGTAAATAATACCATAGATTAATTCACACGTGACGCCATTGGAAATAACTGGAACGTTGACAGATAATCTGAAGGATAGGCTGTAGGAAACATTTTACACCAAAGCTACTGCCAGAAGAAATCAACCAAAGAAATCAAAAGGCATTTTTGACTTCAATATGAAATTAGGATCTGACGCCAAGCATCAAAGGAAAGAATTTCAGATCTGAGGCAAAAAAGTGATCAACGCGTAAATGAAAAAGTCGTCTTAGAACGGAATTTTCAATAAGCGAGTGATGAAATATTCCCTTGTAAATAACCAGGATTACATGAGCGAACGCGGATTAAAACGATCGGATATAACGCTTAGAGAAATCAGGGCAGAAGAAGAGGGTAATAACTATATTCAAAGCGTGGTGTAAGCGGAGATTTACTGAAGTACATCTTATAAGTAAGAAATGGTAGAAACAGATTATAAAAATCAATGAGAATAATTAGGAAAGACAAATGGAATAATAGTGAGGGACATGTCGCAATTACTACTTTCATGTTGGTCTGTGTGTTGACAAATCCTTCTGTATAACCTGGCGAAGTTGCTAATTTAAACTACTCCCAGTTCATCAGTGGCAACATGTTTGGTGGATTAGAGGTATTAGACAAAGGAAGGGAATGGAAATGGACTAAATTAAATAATGGAAAACGAGATGCACACTGTAGGACTTTAAATTAAAGAAGTAACAAAAATATATTTCCATAACATATTTTCCTACTAGCCTTGGTAAATCCCATATAAATTCAATTACCCGTGATCCAATTCTGCAGTTTAAAAACGGTAGTTACGCAAATTGAAATATATTAGCAATTTAGATTCTTTTCACGCGATATAAGTGCGTAATTTGATTGCGAAAAAAAACAGCTCGAACTCCTTAAACTCTTAGAATTAAGTAGTATTTGCGCAGATCTCAAGATTTTAAATAGATTTTGAGAGTACGGGTATCAGCTTTCCCGGGGGGGGGGGGGGGAAACGTGTTGCGTGTTTGGAAGGCTTTACAAGCAAACAAAAGCAAGGAAGATTTTTACGAGCTCCAAAACAACCCCACAAAGGTTATAGTCCATTGGTGAAGAAGGCTGTGGTGGTGTCCAAGAATTAGACAATACCAAGACCAAGACAATTAATTTGGGGGGGGGGACGGACGGATAGAATGCACGACAAAAGGATAGGTTCACTCAGCTTGAACTCAGTATGTCACAACTATTGGTATCAGCCACAAAGGACAATTTAATCGATTTAATAGCAGTAAATACTGAGAGATAGGAGTGTAAGATGGTAGTCGTACTCCGATTCACAGGCACGAAAAAATCCGTTCCATTAGAACAAATAAATTTAACCTCAATTTCAGATTTAAAGTACTTATTGCATTGCTGATTAACAGTGAATTTCGTTTGTCAAAATATGTTGTCTTTTAGCCGTAAGTTACTCGCTGAAACTTCGCATTGTTGAGTTATAGCTCATTCTCAACGTGGTGTTTTGTAAAGAAGCAGTACTACTCTGCACTGCGTAATTCAAGAATTTGACCTAAATCGGAGTTAAGCCAATTTTCGTCAGTGAGAGTCCTCGAATAGTCCTCTGATTCAAGATGCCTATAAATTAAATATCATGGCATTGAATTTGGAGGAATAGAACCCAAACAAGAGAGCCGTGGAATAATGAAATATAAGAGGTGAAGAGATAGATCCATTAGGAACTTTTCGACTGTGACGTAGTGATAAGCCAATAGTACAATGTATAAATTTAAGACAAAATATGCCCAACTGTTTATGAGCCGTTTCTAAAAGTGCATAAAAAGACCTCCTTTTCGGTTATTCTACCTTTACGCACTTTCAGATCATTGGAAAATCATTTAGCCCCTCCAAGGTTAGGAGTCATTAGCATAATACCTTAGAAAACATGCTTAGCAGTGATAGGTGTTAGTCCTAAGCAAAGACAAGTGGAGATAATAAGTGCTTGATCGATCTTCCGCTCCAACATGGCCTTGACCCCAAAATACAAATGAGGCCACTTAATATGCATTTCATTCATATAGGGGTGGAGAAATCATATGACGAAAAAACTGGCCTTTATGCAAAAATTGTCCATTCATTTTGCGTAAAAGAGCTAAGCTCCTTGTGGTTAGGATAAGGTGTGCTTACAAAAGTTGGAAAGTAATAAACTATCCGCACAGGTGTCCCAACACACACCAACACATATAGTGGTTGTTGGTATTTGAAGAGAGCATTTTGACAACTTCAAATTAATTTGCCTTTCCTCTGGTACAATCTTAAAGCTATGTTCATCACCCAAGACAAGCTAATCATAAGGGAAAACTAATCTTCTCCCCTCCCCCCCCCCCCCCCCGCACCACCAGAACGCCATGAATAGCCCATCGTGTAGTGAAACGCTTTCGGATTAAATTATAACCACGATATCTGCTTTCAAAATTTCATTAAAACAATTTCTGCGAAGAAAAATCGAAATCAGATTGAAGTATCAAACCACAAGTGACAGTTCTTCCATTTCTCAGCACATAGTTATACAATTTTCAATAACAGAGGAGACAGGCAACCGTTTCCGATCCTAATTAATGATGATTGATGGCCTAGTGAATACTAGGTAGAAATCGATCATTGATAAGCACTCTATAAACACTTCTCAAACAGTCACGGAGCACTTTCAACGGTCTTTATTTAGGTCCGAAAATTTGTTTAAAGCGATCTGTGAAATTACAACGTGAGCTCAGAGTTAATATTAAGTGGACTCACATGAACTCTCAGACTTGTTATAAATATCTCCAACTCTGCTAACTATTATAAACACGAGCCATAGTTCATAAGAAAACCAAAGGGATTAATCTTGATATTTATAGCTCCATAGGAGAGCATTGAGCAAAATGTTCCGCCCAAAATGATTTAAAGCTTATTGGGAGTTGGAAGTTGTCTTGAATCAATTCATTATGCATATACACTCGACTCAACTTCCCGCACATTGGACAATATAACCCAATCTACTTTAGGAAGGACATTTTACACAAGTGGAAATATTTAAAACATATATATATAGCAAAAAATGACCATGTATGTAGTCTCCAAAGTAATAATTCCCGCTCAGCATTCAATTGTAAAAGAAAAAAAACTTATTTAATGCCCCGCACTGGCAGAACTGGCACAAGTGAACCAAAATTCATCCGAAGAATTGAGCGCTCATTAGAGAAAGCATCTCGACTAATGGGGTGAAGAATATTTTAAAGTAAACAACTTCCTACCCCCCCCCCCTCCCCACGCACACACACATTAACTGCCTCAATTTTCACCTTCAACTCCCGAATTCGAGAACCATCAAAATTATGAGTTGGGGAGTTGAGGTGAACTAGCCAAACCAATGGAGTTAGCCGTTAACGCCTATGTGAATCTCTCCACTTTTAAAGGAGAAAAAAAATTCACTAATTAAAAAGCTGCTGTAGGAAACTGGAGAGAAAGGGAATCAGTTCAATTGCCGGAAATATGTAGCGTCCACAAGGAAATGCGGCGAATTATCTAAAACTAATAGTCAAAGCAGTTCAATTGAGCAAAACTAAAAGTAAATCCAAAGGCAATTATGCACTAAATTAAAATCTTAAAAAAGTACACCTTTTAAAACGTGGTACTTAATTTGACAATGCGATTGCGTCCGACTCATCAAACTACAAAAGGAATTATAAATAAATAGTTAACGAGGCGCGCGTTGTGATAGGTATTAATGAAACCCCCCCCCCCCCCAGGAATGTATTTGAGAGCTGATTTGGTGATAAATTTACCCTCCTAAAGTAATCAATTGTAGACCAGGCCAAAGTGACATGCTTGACTCATCTCATTACTTATGATGGATACCGAATTCACGAAATACAATACAGACTGTTGTATTTTATACGTAAGAGGAAATTTTCTGAAAAGTTATGAAGCCTAAACAACCCAGGGCATTAGTTGCCTCTTTTGCTCTAAGTTATACACAGTTTTGCTCACTAATGTGATGCCATAGTGGTCAAATTCATATTATCAAATGACAAAACAATTCAATCCCACAAAAGTCATAGAAAGATGAAACTAGGCCTTGCAAAAAGGATGTAAAATGCAGTTAAGCCCCCACGCCACCGGCAAGAAATATCACGTCAGGTGAACAACTTGTGAGGTCAAACCAACTTTCGTCTGGTCAATCCTATTTTGTCAAGTTAGAAATAGGAATATACTTATACCACTGATTGGTTGTTCCTTTGTCGGTGAATAAAAAACACCAATAAGAAACAAACTACTCCCAAAGTAAACCAACAACGCAACACTACACTTCTTCTCTTTTCTCCATCCCAGGAGCAGGGTTACTCTGTAGTCCAGCATGGCAGAATCAATCGGGTTTGCACCATTCCAACAGCGCTGAGACAACCATACAGAAGGGGGTAAATTAGCCCTCTTGGAAAACAGGAAAATATACAGAAAGCTCTTTAAAAAAAGTAATCACCTCATCAATCTTGACATTTAATATAAAGTAAAAAAGGGCATAATTCTATTAATCATTGGTGGAGTACATCTATGGTGAACTATGGCCTGTAATCTCCGATTCGTTAAAATAAATTAAGAATACACTGTTCTTTCAATCACTAAAAAAAGAAATAAATTGAAGTGCCCACAATAATTAAACAACTGGCCAATAAACACTTGAAATGGTGGGTGAGCAATAATGAGTATTGAATATCCTAATAAGTGAATATTCTGCAGGCGAAATCAGAAAATCAAGTGAAGTAACTCATCCGCTGACTTCAATTACATACTCTCTCTCTCTCTAGTCCTTAATGAACTACTTGACGGCTTTCTGACAGAAGCCTATTCCCAACGAGTAATTGTAAAATATTTTTGCTTTTCTCATGGCTTTTATTAGCAAGTATAATGTTCCACTCAAATTGCTTCCTCCCGTTACCATCCAATTTTGTTCTAGTAAAAGAGAGATGTGACCATCCATAAAATGACCACACAGTAGTTAACGAGGAAGGCCTATTTGGTGTAGAACTAAGGGAAATCAAAATCATATAGGAATATTTCAACATATTGGATGCCAATCATCAAGAGTCTACATCGAGTATCAAAGAATATTGAGCCCAGCAGTCAATAAGCATACTGAGGCAACACCAAAAGAATGTGGAAACACGGTCACATAACTTAGGTGGATGGATGACATCATGGAGATTCTGGTGAGAAATTTGGAATTCCATCAAGGCCATTTTTTATCAGAGCTTGACCAGTGTGCCGTTGGTCAATCCGCTCAATAAGTACGCCACTGGTTGGAATTGAACTCTGTAGCCTCTTACCACACAGACAAACACACTTTGACCCACATGGATAAATGTGCGAATTTCTTAAAAACCTAACTTTTACACAGTCGTGCCTACCAAAATAAACTCAATCTAGGGCGACTCATCATATAACTGACAAGTGAAAATGTTAATTTTGTGAGAGTAGTCACTGTTATGCTCATAAAAGAATTGGGATGTTGGCAGCAAATATGGAACACTTTCTCCCCCCCCCCATTTTCAAATGGATGTTGCCTGATAATTGTCAGTGTATATTAAATTGTCCCCATTAAGTGAATGGCATACACTAGATAATGTGTGATGTTAAATATTCGACAATTCAACCAGTCACTCAGCAATAACAAAAGTAGACAAAATTAAATAGAGGAAGAGCAAATTTCAGAGCATATCATAAAATACAGCAACAGAATTGTTTCATTGCAGAAGACCATAGCAACAACGATTTGTAAAGGGAGGAAAATATGCCAGAGGCACAGAAACACCCATTTAGGACATGCTTAAATGAGAGTTGCATTATCTCACCTCCTAAATCAAATACAGTTTATAAGTACAGGCAAATCATGAGAACAGCAAGTCTCATCAACCAATCATCACATACAGTTACCAGCAAAAAGCCAAAGTGATTCAATTTACGGAAATGATTTCCAAGCCACCATTTTCAAAAGCATTGACAAGTGGGATTCGACTTAACTTTTAAATATAGTACTTTAGCGTAAAGAGGGGGAGCTTACCTTTGGCCAAGGATGTGCCTTGATTTGGGGGAATTTGAACTCGCGATAATCTGGATTCATATCACGAATCTGCTCATGAGAGGGTGTGCCAAGCACTTTGATAATTTCCACCAACTGGTCTACTCCACTCTCACCGGGGAAGATCGGTTGGCCCAACAAAAGCTCTGCGAATACACAACCCGCAGACCAGACGTCTAAAGGCGGAGAAAAATCGGGATAGGAGTGAAAGCGAGCTGAAAAAAAACTAATCTTTTGCGGAGGGCACGGTTCCACTTCCTCCCCTTTATAAAGCTCAAATCGCCAACTTAAGGTGATACCAATACTCAGACTACAGGAAGGTAAAGGCCTTTAACTCAAAATGGCGCCCCATTTTGCTTATGTATATTTTATATTCACAATGCATTAATGGTTGGCTAATTAGTAAAAAAAATTGCAGCAATGACAATCCCTTATGTCCAAATACGAATAAGAACTTATTAATCGATTATCAAGTATTTTGTTCTCATTCCCACCACTTATGCTTACCATCGGAGATCGTTTAGCTATTGCAAGGCGGCATGTTCCACTATACAATCAACTAAGATATACCACATATGTCCCCCCCCTTTCGTTCAGGGATATTTATTGATTTTAAATAATTGCGAGTTGGCTGTGAGTGAACTATTCCGTTAATCAACTATTTAGGTCTCTAACGATTCTTGATCCTAGCTCATTTGTATTTTTGACCAGCTAAAGTCGTTTTTAGCGTAGTATGCAATCTAAGTGAATCGTTTCCATTGCATCTCAATTCTGGTTTATGCGTTTTCCAGTGCCTGCACAAGTTTCCACCAAGAAATAACCATTATATATATAATGCAATTAATTTGCAGACCCTACAAGGGAAGTAGAACTTTTCGAGATTAATCAAAAAGTCGGTAGGTTAACTTATTCAAAACCAGAAATAACTGTCCCAAAATAGATTTTAAATAGTGACGGAATTGACCATGCATTGAAGCCAAATTTTATTCGAAATAATAAAAATATTGTCTGACGAAAAAGCTAATTTTAAACAACAAAATTTGATTAATTCCGTCTAAACAATGGCAAAAACGAAAAGATTTAGATTGAAATTCAGGACTTTCATTATCGCATTTAATGAGGGAGAATAGAAAGTAGATTTGGAAGTTTCGGAGCATGGATTTGATACGATTCCAATAGCAATTGGCGTGCCTTTGATTAACACAGCTCTCTTTTAGGCTCGATACATTCGAGAGTTGAGTTAGATTAGAAATCGGATTTAAAGCTAGCCTGAAAATAAGTGTAGAGGAGACATTGGCATTACAAAGCTGATTTGCATTCGTTTAAAGTTTTTTTCCCATAACTCGCATTTTCCAGAATAACTCCAAATTAGTTGTTCAACTTGACCAAGAGAATTAGAGGGCGAATCTCTTCCTAGGATTTGCACGGTGGCCAGGGAGCTCTGGTCAGGTCCATAAGGCAAGAAAGAATTATTGCTGAGGATCAACTTTCCACTGATGATTGACGCCAATCTCATAAAAGTACTGAAGGCATGAAAGGAAATGTAAAAATGCGGACAATTAAGACATAACCCATTTAAATCTATTATCTTAAATGACAGATTTCTCGCTTGCGTTTAGAAAAAAAACGGACATGCGTTAGTGATCTATCCTGGATCTTAAAACATCCAAATTGCCATCATTAAGACAGAAAACTCAACAATATGCAGCTATTTATTACAAATGTAATTTTTACGCCTTTATTTTCAACTCAATTCTACAAAATCTAAAATTATCTTGGAATAAAAGTTTAAGGAAATACGAGAGCCATCATTTCAAGTACGCTAACAAGGCATCTAATTGCGTAACACACACTTTTCGCACGAAGAAATACGCACACCGATAACCCAGATTTCGAAAGATGATCTTAAATGGGGTCATTTTTGGAAACCAACATTCCATTAGTAATGGGAATGTAAGATGAAAAAAAAAACAATTATATCCCGGTGACCCCCTCCCCCCCCCTCCCCGCAAATAAATTCAACTTAAAATTGGCGTCTCAGTTGGCCTGGACAAACAAAAATTAGTTATTTGAATGTTCGATCTATATCTATTTCCTCAAACATGAACGGGTAACAATAAGGAAGCTACTAGGATGGAGACTTTTCTTGCGGTTATAAGATGGCAAAAAAGCGATATGATCTCAATTAGATTGTTCACACGATGAAAAGCCGTGGGATTTGCAAAAAGGAAATTCGGAGTGGAGTAAGGAATGCACAGGTACATGAAGATCATTAATTGGGACTAGCCCCCTTCATTGACAAGGCCAGTTATAAGAAACATCCGTCAACCGTTTTCAAGGTGAGGTGGTAGGGAATCGCAAAGCTAGAAATAAGTGAATCAGACAGGTAAGGTGAAAAAATACTGGAGGCAGTAGATGTATGTGAGTATCCAATCGAAGAGTTTAATTAATAAAAGTTAGGGATCACTAATTTTCTTGGGTTTTTCAGTCATGACAAGTTATCACATGACTTCGGTGAAAAGTACCGAATGACTGAGACTTGCCCATTCAAAGTGCACGCAATAAAAACGCAGTTATCTTTTCTATGCACGAGTGTCTGCGCTTTTGTGAGTTTCAGTGCCGCGCCCAAAAAGGTCGCAAATGTAAAAGACCAACTATTATTTAAATTGTGATGGCACCGAGACCTCACCTAGGTTCTACACAATCACAATCTTTGAAACCTATAAATGATTTAACCGTGAGAAGAGGACTATAAGATAACCATCTCTGTCAAAAAAGAACCAGAATGTGACAAGTAGAGTTTCAAGGTGGGTCTTATACTCTCTCTCACTCTCTCTTCATCAGCTATCATTCCACACGAAGCTTTCCACCTATTATTACAAATGGAGCCTTCATCTCCATTCCAAATTGTTAAAGACAAGATTCGAGGGAATTGTAAAGATGGAAGCCAAGGTTTCCTCCCCCCCNGCCAAGGTTTCCCCCCCCCCCCCCCCCCCACCCCCTTCAATCCTAAAGTCGTAGCTATCATGTCAATCATTCGTAATGCAATATCGTCTGTTTCATACGTCCAACTGTAGAATGGTTTCTATTAGGCTCTTGATTAGTCCAATTCAAATTAAACCCAAATTGTAATATGTATAAAAACTCGAACTCGCTCGTCTCTTATTAAGCTCTAATCGATAAATCGGTAGCACAATTAGTAGATCAGATGAACCCACATTAAAATCGCAGCATAATATTAAAAAAATTATTTTACTCAGCGATACCCAACGTGCGGCTGGTGTTTAGAACAAAATGTACTTACGACCAAGGGGGTTTCGTTACTATTCAAACGATGTCAGACTTCATTTATAAAGCACAGAGTCGAGAACAGTAACTAAGCCTTCCCTTTGAGATCGTGGCAATGTATGGAAGCGGATCTTACGAATTTGCATTTGAACTTAAACTAATATCCATTGATTTTAGTTGGTCATAGTACTATAAAATGATGAACATAGTGGTAACGCAAAAGACGTTTGCGCATTTACATGAATGACATCAACTACCAATCGATAATAACATAGGTACTCACATAGGAGCAATTTTGACATTCAGAACCCGTGGAATGAAGAGAAAAGCAGTACTCCAATTACGATTCCATGTCCAGATATGAACATGGAAGGAGAGTAATCACGAATGAAATGATGTTCACAGAGTTCTACTATTTCTGTTGGGGGAAGGGGGGGGGAGTTGCGCTAGAAATGGAATCGTGTATGATAGCACAAAATTAAATGGGAACATAAAAGCACACGAGTATACCAAGAACAACGTTCTCTGCCCATGGCTTACGAATGCTCCAAATATAGCTTCGAATGAATAGTACTGTTGCAATTAGTAAGAAGACAATCATGAGAGAATCGGGAAAGGAATATGACACTAGCAAGTATCTAAAGCCAAGTAAAAGTAGTAAGCTTAATATACACCTTAAGGCTAAGTGAACAATGGATAAGTAAGATGAAATATGCGACGTCAACCTGGCATAACCATCTAAAATTCGCCATAAGGCGATTTCACAATACAAATTCCAATTGCATTTAACCAAGGAGGGTTATTATGATAATCGTAGATGCATCAAGCAGAAAATACAATTTGCATCTGATCAACGGTGTGAAGCTCATAGAAACCACGTGATTATGAAATAAAAGCCCTCAGACTTGAGATCGCATCGAACTTTTGCGAGATCGAGATATGTAAAAGTGCATCGACATTAGGGTAGGTAAACACCGCATTACTAATTCTAAAATGAGTGGGAAAGGATACAATAAATGTATCTGATTTGTTTAGACGGGTACAGAGATGCAACCAATAACGGACGGCTTTTGCGACATTTCTGATGCCTGCCAATGTACCTATAGCGACTCGAAGGTGCTTGTAAGGGGAATGGAATATCTTCGGCACACTGAAGAAAATGTTCAAATTGTAAATCATTCTTTGACCGTTAGATTTCTCTGTGCTTGTAACTTATCAATCAATTTTCCACGCGGATATAGTTCAAGCTGAGCACAGAGCCCGTCACAATTTCTTCTCCCTTGGATCTGAGCAGCTTCAGCAATAGTGCACTCCAGTGGGCAAAACGGTTCAAGAATGGCCACGTGAAGTTTATATTAGGGGCATTACTTAGGAACAAAGCCGAAATATTTACCCAATTGGCAGCACATTATTACATTGGAAAAAAAACTGGCATCGAAAGCAAAAGTAGAATAAATTAGATTAAGTGACAATGAATTTGAAGGAAGCCAAACCCGACACACTTGATGTGCACACTCCGGTGAAATGGTCGACAATGACCACGTGGATAACTAGAAAAGCACCCAGGCTTTAGAGCTTACAAGCAGAACAAGATAAAATCGAGCAGGACTAATGCGAGCCACGAAAGAGGATGGCTGAGTGCAAGAAGTTAAAAGTGGTTACACACCGGAACTGAGGATCCTGTCGAAGGCTGTAGGAACAGTGGTCAGATAAGTATTTAGACAGTCTTGCATGTTTGCGTATGTATTATATATTTATATACAAATATACATAAATATGTATGTACTTATGCATATGTGTGATGTGACATGCTAGCGAGAGGCGCGGCTCCACACGATTATTTTCAACAGCAGAGCAACAAGTGATGCACATACACACCCACTTGTCACACTGAATTTGCATGGCATACTCCAGATCAGTGACAAATGCATGGACTCAGAGTGGAAAGCCGAATGAGACTAGGGCCCGATTTCCTCCTATCGGCAGTGGCAACATTTAAAATCAATGCTGGTGGAAGAAAAGCAGAAACAGGTAAAATCCCTCCCATCAGTAAATATGCATCGATAGTGTAATGCTGTCGACAACTATCGGTGAACACGACCGAGCATAACGACCTATGCTCCTCAATAGGGATTAATCATAAAATGAGATTTTCAAAAGGAGAGGTCTAAAATGCTACTCTTGACGAGAAACTCTTCAATACTAAAGTGGCCTAGAAATTTTAGTACCTTCAATTATATTACCTGAGAAGCAAGGGAAGATCAGTCGCAGAACTCGAAACATAACTAAATATTAGGTTGCCAACTAAGTCATTGCCGATTTCAAATAAGAAGGCAAATTCTCTGAGTCAATATATATTAGGTAGGCAACTAAGTCATTGCCTATTCAAATAAGAAGGGTATGCTAAGTCATTGCCGATTTCAAATAAGAAGGCAAATCCGGATTTTTTGTTTAAAAATATAACTTTATTCAATTAGATATTGGCCGTTCTTGTCGACGACCTTTTCTATTCAATTAGCTATTGACCGTTCTTGTCGATGACCTTTTACAATTAGATATTGGCCGTTCTTGTCGATGACCTTTTTTCAACGTTCTGGCAGAGTAAAAATTACCCGTTCGTAAATGTCTGGTCTTTGCTATTAAAAAACTGAATTAGATGTGATCCGACATCATCCGCGCTGTTAAAAATTTTACCATTTAAAGAGTTTTGCATGAAACGAAACAAATGGTTATCCGAAGGCGCAAGGTGAGGGCTATATGGTGGGTGTGACAAAACATCCCAACCCAGTTCCAATCATTTTTGCCGAGTAACCAAAGATGTGTGGGGCCTTGCGTTATCATGATGGAAAACAACACCCTTCCGATTTGATAATGCCGGCCGCTTATCTTCAATTGCATCCTTCAGTTTTTCGAGTTCTTCAACATACACATTTGAATTTATCATTTGGTTCTGCGGCATGAGTTCAAAATACAAAATTCCTTTGTGATCCCACCAGACTGACAGCATAATCTTTTTTTGGTGAATCTCTGCTTTTCATACTGTTTGGGCTGGTTGAACTTGCATCACCCATGATCTCTTGCGAGTAACATTCTTATAAACTATCCACTTTTCGTCACCAGTAACTAGTTTCTTCAGAAATGGATCATTCTCATTGCGTTTCAGTAGCGGCGAATCACAGATGCTAATCCGTTGCGTCAAATGAATTTCCTTTAACTGGTGAGGGATCCATAAATCAAGTTTCTTGACATAACCAAGGGTTTTTAAATTTTTTTTCAATGCATGTATGCGACACATTGAGCAGCTTCTCTGCAATATCTCGTGTTGTGCTGTGACGATTTGAATCGATAATGGCCTTGATATGGGTTTCATCCACTTCGACTGGGCGGCCAGATCGTTGTGAATTTTTCAGTGAAAAATCACCGGAACGAAATCTTTCAAACCAATTTCGACACTGCCTTTCTTCCTCACGGCTTCATCTCCATATACGCCACATAACTTCTTCTTTTGTGCTTGCGATGCGTTCTTGCCTTTTCGGAAGTAATACAATAAAATGTGTCGGAAGTGCACGTCCTGTTCTTTCATTTTTAAATTGGGATAAAAACAAAACTAAAGAACTAAACAAAAAAATTTTTTACTAATTAGCCTAGAAGCCCATACAGTAAGAAAAAAATATAGGTTAGATGCTCTGGCCACGTTAACAAAACAAAAGAAAGTATAGAGTGAATTCGTCAACAAAAACGGCAATGACTTAGTTGCCCACCCAATACATGCTGGTCTATAGTCAGTGCTCCGCTTTAAATCTCAAAGTCAGGCGATTTTGAGGTGGAAAAATGTTGATAGGCGCTTAGTAAAGATGAATTTTGACTGTAGCGGCAAAAAGTTAGCATATCAGTTAGTGTTTTCACAATGCTTTTTTACTTCCAACCGAGAATATCGTTATAAAAAACACTGCTATCATCATAATGGTGCAGGTCATTCCAAGTTGAAAATAAACTTATGCATTGTTTCATCGCAATTTTGGCTTTTCAAAAGACAACAAAAGCACAGATTACAAACTGCATTTTTAATTGTTTGAATAGAATTTCTCGAGGCAAATAAAGCAAGCATATGAAAACAGAATATAGTTATAAAAACACCATCTCACATTTTACACGTTTCGTATTAGTACTTATCCCCCCAAACCGCTATGAAAACTTGAGAATTAATAAATCTGGGACTTGGAGTTGTGATAAATTCGACTATCCGCGCTAAAATCCTACCATCCTGTACATAAGTGCCTTGCTATAGGCCAAATTTGTTCTCATCCAATGTTTCGATAAATACATTACCTTTAACCACGGTTCCTATATTTCCCTGTAAGAATGTTTTTGTAAACAAATCAAAACAAAGGCACTTACCGATTTGACATGTGTAATTGACAGCGCCAAAGATGAGCTCAGGAGCACGATAGTACCGTGAGCAGATGTAGGAAACATTGGGTTCGCCTTTAACGAGGATTTTAGCGCTAAAATAGGAGGGAAGGCGAGCTGACGCTCAACTACACGCGCACATACACATTTGAAAGGACAAGCAATGTAGTTGAAAAATACGCCAGTGTTTTATTCCCTTGCATCCCCTCCCCCCCCCCCCCCCCCCCCCCACCTCTCTCCCTCCCTGTCTCCAATTAATATACACGCGAATAATTCATGTACACGCAGGAGGGTGGGGTTAGACAGTGATTGCGCAAATAAAATTCGAAGAGCAAACCAAATGTAGCAATTAACGAACAATGAATTATCAAGTATCCAAGTAAAAGCAGCTGGCATAAGGTGGCGAACTTTCAAAATCAGCCTACTCAAAGGACTAGACATCGAGTTAATCACTAAACTAAGCTAACAACTCCTAATTAATATAAGATACGACTTGCGCTCAATTGAACCCCTGCAGGAATGATAGTTACAGTCTTACTCATCTTGAACAACTCAAGATGTAATTTTCTCCTGGAATCCAACAAAATGGATTCAGTTCGTGGAATGCGTGTCAAAAGAAAATGTGAGAAATGAATTCAAACATTTCATCGATGTGAAAGTTATTATTAAAAAAGGGATTAAATCAGTGTCTTACCTCCCAAAATCACACAGTTTGAGAACACCAGTGGAGGGATCAAGCAGGAGATTTTGAGGTTTGATATCCCGATGACAGATTCCTTTACTGTGAATATAGGCAAGACTTCGGAACAGTTGGTACATATACAACTACAAGGCAAGATATTAAAACGAGGAGGAAAAGGAGATTGTAAAGGCTAGAGATAGTATTTACGCACTTGTATGTGTGTGTGCAGGTGTATCTTGCTTTTGACTTGAAAAAAAGTGATTGGACACCTTCCTTTTCAATAGCAAGAACTCTGATAGCTAGAAATCCTGCCCCCCTCCCATTAATGGGCAAATTAAATCACGACAATTTGGGCTATTCAGTATAGATGCTGAGATAAGTTGTGTGGAATTAGAGGATTGATGATGTTATATCACATGTGCTGATTTATCAAATCAGAAATTCCATAATTGTTGCAATGTCGTCTACTTAATCGCACTGATTGCAACTAATCAATGAAGTCATAGAATTTTTATCAGCCCATACTTTAAGCCAAAAAAATGCAATTTATACCGGTATAAAGGTATGTGAACAAGGAGGACAGTCGAAAAGCACACATTTTCCACCATGAAGAGGAGACCGAATAGAGTCTTACTTCACTTGAGAGTTGGAAAGAGTTTGTTCATGCTTATTTATGATAGTCGATCTTGACCATTCAAATCACTCTTTTCTACAAACCATTGAGACCACAAATTGATCTTAAACTACATCAAATAGTTTATTACTTTAGCATAGGTGCAAATTTCTAAAAAACCTCGAAATACAGTAGAGTTTTAACACTATTGTTAAGATAGAACAAAATGCTAAAAGGACGATGATAATTAACGTGATTAAAATAAGTACGGAAAAATTGGGAAGTATTAAGAATAGTTTAGAAACTCACTTTAGCAAACAGCATTGGAATGATTTCCTTTTGCCGGGTATATCGGCGAGCCACTCTGTAGACTGTCTCTGGTACGTATTCCAGAACTAAATTCAAGTACACTTCCTCTTTCTAAATAAGAAAGGGATAAGTCACTGTTAGGAGCTATTGGAGCGATTATAGCAAATCTAATCCAATGAACTTCAAAAAGAGAATAATTGTCCTACCTTTGAACTTTTAGGAACCTATAAGAAAGATAATGAGCAGTTAAGACGGGAGTATTTTGAAAGTCACCAACACGTCTAGCTTTATAATGGCCAAATACAAACTCACGTAGACTGCAACATCGACATTACTCCGTACTATTCAGTCCCAAACTATTCTCAAAAACTACATCTGTAGGCTATAAAAACCCAAGCCAAACATCATAGATCTCCACCCCCGCCCCTACCCCAACCCCACACAAAATTTTGCAAATGGAAAAATTGTCGCTTCGGTAATACAAGTGGTCCGATGGTACCATATAGGCAAGTACGACCTTAACAAGAGACCAAAAAGTGTGACAAGTTAATACACATATCACCAGTATAAGGAGTGCCTTAGGTAGACAATGTCAAAATGTCAGTTTGTTAATTTAATAATTTAGTTGAAATTATGCTAGAAAGGATAAATAGTCGAATGAGAAAAGTTAATCCATGCCTGTCGTTTACAAGGCTTAAAGTAGTTGAAAGCATTGTCAAATTGTGGGCTTATTATTTAATGGGCATTAGGAAAGGAAAGAGAAAGTTACTTATTGGTAAGTTGGGCAAAATTTAAATGGAATTAACTGCAAGAAGTGAAAGTCAGAACCTTGTAAATGACGAGAAGAGCGGGAAAACATATCTACTTGACAATCTTAGATTGATAATTAAATGAAGTAATGTTAATTACATAGGAAGTCTAAAATGCAAGGGCAAAGACCCGAAAATAATGAACAATTAGAAACAATAGCATCGTAAGAAGTTAGGTACTAAGCTCCGAAAAGACGGCAATGTACAAGAGCATAGTCGTTAGCTCACAAAAACGGAAGTAAATAGCAAATGCCTAGTAAAGGGAATAGGAAATTTTGAAACCAGCTATTACATAAATGTAAACAACAAAAGGGATACGGATTTACGAAATGTCAAGAATACCTGATCACCCATGACGTAAAAGAAGTACTTGAGTTTCACAATGTTCTGATGCTCCAGTGAACGCATGATTTGCAATTCACGGTTCTAAAAAACAATAAATACATAAAAAAATAACGAAAGAAATACGTAGAGATAAACAGAAGAACTACCAGTCTTAAAATAAACAATATCCGATTGAATATTGAGTGTAAAAATATTTAGATTAAGTATAAGAATGAGCGATTGAGTATATCTTTTTTCAGTTACCAAATGTAAATTAACCTACTTACGATGAATTGGCCAAACACAGGCAAATTCCAATAGGAAATCCTATAGACTGATTACGATAAGTAGCGATTAGAGAACCAAAATGAAGAAACGCAGAACCACTAGATGAAAAAGGCTAGGAGTTACATTTATTCTTCCAAAAGCTCAGTAAAATATGTTGAATTAAACCCATGATTGGTCATACTGTGAGTTATATCAAAAATAAAGTACAAACACAATGTGTATTTTTTTAGAAATGACTTACACGAACACAGATTATGACAGAATTGGCTTATCATAGTGCGCTATATCAAGACTCCATAGATTTTGGTAAAAAACCAAAAGGTGGCGCTTCACATCAAAAGGAATAGTCAATAGTCGTTTCAATAAATATAATAAAATAAACAAAGAGCAACATGGGCGCAAAACAAATTGACAAAAATGAAGACATTGCAGGATAAATATTTAAAACTATTAGTAAAATGGTATACGGTGGCAGAAATAGTTGACAGTTGGCAATTTTGGCAAAATAGGGAAAATATCAATACGATTAATAGATATGATAAACGAAAAGTGTAAAAATATGATAATGAAATAGTGAATAAGACATGTTTCTATGATCAAAAAGAATAAAAAACTAAAGCAAGAGAAAGGCATAAAACTAGACAAACCTAACAATTCAAAAAAGTAGGCAAGTAAGGACTGCTTTAGTAATAAAATTACAACCACTAAAATAGATTACTATTAAACAATAAAAGTATGACAAAGATAAATTAATCAAATATTAATACTCATAAACGGGCAAAAATCGCATGCAATAATTACCTTAAATCTTCGGTCCTGAAGAACATTTTTTACCGCAACTGTTTCCTCAGTGCCGCAAAGTGTAGCTTGATAAACTACACCGAACGAGCCGTTGCCAATGACCTTAAGGTCCTTATAAGATATTTCCTGGGTTTTTTCAACATCACCCAACGTGGCAACAACGGTCTCTACCTTGCTATCCTTTGCTAGAATGAAGTGAGTGCGATTAACTTAAAAACTGGCACATACGAAAATTATGAAATCAGAGCGGTTATGTGGGGGAAAATACAAAAATAATAGCACTTCTTTGAGAATAATCTAAAACTATAACAAAATTACCCGGGATTATAACTATCCTTGAATATAAAAATTAATAATATGGTAAATCTGCTAATTGAGGGCTGATGAGAATAGTTTCGGTTCGGAACAGCCTCTTAAAAACAACTTGAATGCAATTTATAACAAAAATATTAAGGCCTATAATAATTTCGTTTAGTTCAAGCTGCACAATATCGAATTTCAGATATTCACTTACAGGTCATATTGTAGTCATTATAGCAAATAACGAATCTGCCGCCGATTAACAAAATGTACTAACAGAATCATACGAAAAATTAAAAGAAATAGACTCTATAGCAGTCTTTTACTAATTTGCGTCCAAAAGTTGGGGAAAATATTTCAGTCAATAAAATTGCTTAAAGTTAGAATTGTAAATTGTTACGATGTTTATGTAATTAGTGACTTATTTTATGGGTATTTGCCAGTTATTATTATCATAACCTACTCTCGCAGAAAAACTAAACATGCACGAACAAAAATTAAGACATTTGTCGACAAAAACCCATACAATTTCGGGTTCTTGGTTTATTAATAATGAATGTCAAAAAAATCAGGAAAACTTTTTCTAAGTATACGTAGTTGCTACCACCAGCCCCTTGATGAGAAACTCAAAATGTGACGCGGTCCTTATAAGTCAATTTGGTTATGAGCATACGCATCTAATGTGACTTACCAACATAGTAACCAGTATGTCAAGTTACCAGGGAAAATACATTGGGCGAATTCGAGCAAGGCTTAAACACAAGGAGTTGAATGCTAAATTTATTTTAATCGATTTTAATGTTTCAACTGCTAAATTACCATTAGCTAAGGAAATGAATCTTTAATTTGAAACTCTCATACATAAAATATTATTTAAGATTAGCTTATTTAGGAAATTATCAAAATTCCTAATATTTGATTTTAGTTTGTCGTAATTTTAATTGATAATCTAACTTTATTTCCGGGTTTATGCCCTAAATAAATGATAAAATATTTTTATTATCTATTTATTTATTACTTTTCGATAAATTGATTTTCTGGTTTTACAAAGTTATCTAAACTAAGGTGTTTAACCGTTCCATTTTAATTAATAACACCAGCTGTGGCCAATCAGTCAGTTGTTCTAGCCATCAGCTGATTTTTTGTCTTCGACCAAATATACTTTATTGTAATAACTTGACGCAAAGTGCAGTTTATCAAGCCTGAATTGTCTAGTTAGTTTTACTTTTATGATTACGAATGGCTTTTTAATCATATTGTGATGCCAAACTCTTTTATTTTCATTAAATTATTAACTGATTTTTATAATAGATTATTAGTTAATTAATGTCACTATTAATTGCCCAATAAAATTTTATGTTTGGTAGAGAGATGCCGTTTTTGAGCCCCGATTGGCGAGGCCCTGGGGAGAAATATATCAAATCAACTGCTGAAGAGGGTAATACATGGGAAAATGCCAAGGACTGGCGCGAGAAGGTCTTTGCAAACATGAATGACGCTGCTCTTAAAAGGCAAATGGTCTTAATTTTCACAACAATCATCGTCTTAACACTTTTATTACTAATGTATTGTGATCTTTTTAGAATATACCGACAATCACTTACAGATGAGCAGCTAAGCTCTGAGGACTTTGAATCCATGTTGGCTAGTATTGCCTGCTTTCAACCTCATATTCGTATAAACCTCAGCAGTACTAGAGAAATCGCTAATGTCAGCACAATTACAGACGCTCTCCTTAAACTTGACATGAAATCTGCTATCAGGGATGTGCGTCGATTCAATTATGTGTGCAAAGTAAGCTTTACTAATTATACGCCTTCATTCTCTGCAGTTGGTAAGCAAACTTCTTGCTGATCGATTACACACTCTAACTGGTCGATCTCAGCTCTACATTATCGAATTATTGAAAGTGGTAATGCATCAAGGTTTGCTTCTTTCAATTGCCACTACATTTCTGCCTTTCTTATAGTTCTTGGCAGTTGTAATCAGACCCTTGTTTTTCGTCAACTTCTTGACACTTTACGCACGAATTTGGAGAGACATGAATATGACCATATAGGAAGTTCGCAACTCTGGGTTAGTCATTGGGATTCTTTGAAGAAAATGGAAGCGACTCTGGACGATTTCGACATTAATAAGGTAGTCCATCCTACTTGCATTTTTATTCATTTACTTATTTTAGTTGTTCTTAACTGTTGAATTTCACGGTTTTCTTGCATTCTCAGTTTTGAATCATTCTTAGGTGATCTATTTGTCCTATTTGGATCACTTTGGAAAACCTTAAATAAATCTTGTTTAGCTTATTTTTTGCTTAATATAAATTAAATGTTATTGCTATCTTTAGTTTAACTATCTTCACTTACCACTTGTCCTTTTCTAAGGGATTCCTCGTATTGTAAGCAGGGTAAATTACTCCAGTAACTATGGATTTTAAGCTAGATCATACCCTTCACTCCCGATCAATTTTGAAAAATCTGCTAACAAAGATCAAATATTCTCCCAAAAGTTGCTAATTTTGTAAAATCTCAACACTCTTGTTGAAAGTTACAAGTGTACCAATTTAATTTGTCTATGATTATTTTACAAATAGGCATTTTGGCTGTCTCTGTTTGTTGACTTTTTGCCTTAGTATTTGAGTATGAATAGATTCATTTCTTTCAACTAATGTCTTATTAACACGCGAGCATCGCAGTTAGTAACAAGAAAACCTTCTAAGTTCACTGATGTTTTTTTCGTTGGTGCATTGCACACAGGTTCCAGCCATGTCTTCAGTCACTCTTACGGAATGATCCCATTTAATTCTTTTCAATTCACCGGATTTTAATTTGCCTCAAAGTCTATTCTGTGAATTTTTTAATTCTTTGAGAATACCTTAATTTTATACGAAAATTTCGCATTTACTTTACTTTCGGTAAGGTGAGTTTTTAATTTGGACTTTTTTATACACCTTTACCTATTAAATTTTCTTGCATTTTGCTGTTGTTAGTTGTGAAGGATGAGGCAATTTCGCTCTTTAATTGTTTTAAGAAAATGTCTTGTGCCCTGCTAGCCTAATTCCAAATTTATCTATTAAACTGTCATAGTTATTTAAATGTAAATTATTATTTCACCATTTTTTGATCCCATGCCTTAACTAAATTTCATAATTTGACACTCCAGTGGTTCTAGTAATGCTGGCTGTTGAAGTCATCATGGCCCTCTCTTCCTCTTGTATTGGGGCCTACTCTAGTATGACACTTTAACCGTCTTCCCCAAGACCACAAAGCCGTGTAAATTTGTATTATCGATTGCCGATTCCCACTGCATCCGATTGAAATTGCCTATATGTCCGTTATTGACTTAGAAACAGCCAATTACTCAGGCGAGGGAAGATACCACGATTCATGCTAACAATAAATCTTCCTTTTACCAACCCTCCCTCATGCTCTAGTCGTGACCGGTTTGCCTGAAAATATTAGTTTCACTATCATTTTATATTTCATCCTGTTTAGTTTATTCATAAAGATGCGTCTATCATCGTTGGCCAATTTTAAGCATTTTAATATAATTAGTTTCCTCTCTTTTCTCAACCCAATATTATTTCCAAATTTTAATATATTTCACGTATCATCCATGGCATATGCTTTGTTTATACTGAATGGCCTTGCATGTTAAATTATTTATTTTTAATTTGTCAAACTTAATAAGTGTTATCCGCTAAACCTGCTCCGATGTAATTCAACAAATCTTTATGCTAATTGCCTAATTTATTTTGATATTTTCCTGCAGAGTCTTGGTACATCAGCCGGTGAAAATTCTCCCACACATGTCAACTGTAAGCGTTCGCAAACCGAAGGGAGCCGAGCATCCCTAGAAGCCCTACCTCTTGAATGCTTGAAATGTATTTTTGACAATGTCCACAGCCCTGAAGATCTCGAATCAGCCTCCCTCGCTTCTCCAACCCTCGCTTTGTTAATTAACGATGAGGTGCTATGGCGACGCATGGTTACTCGTTCCTTTACTCCCAATCAGATTATGGCGGTGCAGTGGGGCCGTTCTTCCTGGAAAAATCCGCCTTCAATGCCCGTCTCAGCAGCGGATTGTAATTGGAGGATGGCTTATATCCGCCTCGTGAGGCGATTTGGAGAGCAACAAGTGCACTCTGCACGTCTGGCTGTGTGTGAGAACTGTTCGTGCCTCTATTGGTTGGTAAGCACGTGTATTGCATGTCCTTAGCCAATCATTTATCCACCCAAATTTTATTGGATTTTACCTGAGTCTATTAATTAAACCGGCTCTTCTCAGGTCTCTTTTTTATGCAGTGTTGGTGGTTCCCTTGCTTCTTCATTTCATTGCTTTTGCCTTATTTAAGTAAAATTAATTTACGTGGTTAAAATAGAGACAGGATTTTATTTAATCGACTTACTATGAATAAGTTATCATAACGATTCTAGTTTGGCTTATACGATTAACGAGGACTATAAGGTCACTCCTTGCTTTCGTGAGTCATCATTTAAAAGCATTTGTTTTCAAGCTGATGAGATATCAAAATGCACTCTAGTAAAATCCAACATTAACGTTTTAAAGTAGAATGCTTAAATTAGTTGTAAAATATCTGTATGGCCATATCTTGTCAAGGAATTTAATAAAATTATCTGTGTATTTGTGCTGAAGTTGCTAAGACATTTGCTGATTTACGTGATCAATCTCAACTTATTGCCCAAGCAAATTAGTTATAAATATTTGCTTATTTTTCTGAAAATCCAAGTGATATGATGACGATCAATTTTCTATGCAAATGGGCTTGTCCCAATTATGTCATCCGAATTTTCATTTTACGAGGAGAAAGGCACTGACTGGCAGAAGCTGATAGCTTTAGGAAGAGGAAAACTTAGCATATTCGAATTCAGGTTAAATGGAATCTTTTGCCCATTCACAACTGATGTGCACTATTTTGCTCACTGATTCTCATGACATTTCAAAGACCAAACCACCGTGTTCTGTAGCATTTGACACCTGCAGCAGCCTTTCCGATATTAGAGTATCCTGAATGCATGACTATCAAGACGTTATTATTTATTAAATTAGTAATGTTCTCTTTTACTCTTGCTAACTGCTTCCAATTTAATTTATCCAAGTTATTCGATTCCATGATTTTTCAATTTCTAAACAGCTGACATTTTTATTTATTAAATCTTTTTTTGTTATTCAATTATTATACCACGGTTGATTGATGCAGCTTTGCTAATTTAATGAATCTTGATTTGTAAGTTATTAAAATGGAAATCAAAATAAGGCATTATTTCAACTCACTTTTCTTTACTTCTATGGTCTCGAAATTTCTGATTAGTAAAAATATTGATTTCGATGGACATTGGCTTTATTCGCCGAAAGGTGGGATTATTATTGGCTACCATTAATTATAAGCAATTCAAGCAACCACTAAAAGGTCTAATACTTTCCCTTTTGCATACAATCATTCAGGCATTTTGTGGGACTATTGCCTAGGAACATTCAGACGATTTGTTATAAAGAATAAATCATGTAATGGGGGGGGGGGAAATGTCAGCAAATACCAAATGATATTGTGAGAGGGCTTGGAAATGGTTGCTAGGTGGAAGCTGTGGTTGCACGCTTCTTAGGGAGAACTATGCGGTTTTACCATCAACAATAGGTCTTAAATTCACCTTAGAATACGCATAGGGAATATTTAGCAATTAATGAAATTAGGGTGTAGAAGAGAAAAAAAAATCAAGAATTTAAGGATGAAAACACCAGCGTGCGAACAATATTTGCGACGCAAGAGATAAGTGAAGACAGCAACGGTGTCAGTCGTGCTCAATCAGACTCCAAAGGATTCATGGCATTTATTTATTTATATCAAATGGCAGGCGTTTTGATAGTTATCATTAGCTTTTTAGTTGACCTCAGGCTTCACAGAGGGGAGGAGGAACATCAAAGTGACAAAATGTCGAGAGGGGAACAGAAGAGTGATTCACAAATGTAAAAGAAACAGACAGACACAAAGGCTCAGGAAGGGTAAGATTAACACTGTGGTAGGGGTCGAATATGACATACAGTGGGGTGATGGTAGTTTGAAGTCAGAAATCAATTGCCAGTTAATAGACTTTTTTGCCGTCTGAGTATACGTTGCCCAGGGTGCACCACGTGGAGGTAAGTCCATTGCGCTACCCAGGAATCATGGCATAAAACAGTTTATCTGAACTAAAGCCTTAATTACTCGGAATTTTTAAGTCCCCCAAGAAGCAACACTTCGGTCGCTTCAATTAGAAGAATGGCGTTATATTCATATCATCAAGCCACGTGAATCTCAAAACCTTTTAGAGAGTCTTTTTAACGTTTAAGCCTTACATATTTGGCGAGAAATTTTCATTCCACTATCAGCTTCCTGTTCATGCTTAAACTTTTTGAACTCAAGCATGTCGTCTACTTCAGTCTGTCCTATTGATCTACGTCTATTAGTGGGATTTTATTTCTCAAAAGTTACTTGCTTCTTTCCCAGATAGTCCTAAACTGATATAAGTGCAAAATGCTCATTTATGCCACTTAACTCCAACTAGTATTTAAATAAGAGGAAGGAGAAAATCTTTAAATCCATAAAAATCCCTCTTAATTTATCTTGTTCTTATGAGCAATTACGAGTTTTGTTTAACTAAACGCCCGAACATACTGGCACTTTTATAAACTTGTCACTATTTTTGACAAGTGTGCCATAATAGTATAATTTCTTTGTTGTCAGGTCCGAGTATTTTAAATAGCATTCAGTTCATTTACCACTGACTCTCAGAATGATATATTGAATGACAGCTATAGAGACTGCTATTTGACGCTATTTTGGCGCGTCACAGAGACTAATTTTCATATTTATCTTCTCAACCTTTTGCGAAAATGTAAGCCTACTGTAACTTTTACTGCGAATGCACTAATCTGGAATCTATGACCTTGGGACATCAATTTTAAAGTTCATGTTAAGTTTGTGCATTCAATTTTTTGAGTTTTCCCTCATTTTTTATCCATTTCTCTTCTTAACTCACTTTTAGTACTTCTTTATTGGTCTAAATGCTTAGATGCTTCTCAGTTTTAAAAATTCTACTTTCAAATCTTCATGATGAAAAAATGAATTACCAGAAATTCGAGAAATCAACTTTCCTCAATCACAGTTGTCATTAATGCAAACGTAGCGCTGGTATAATAATCGGCAATTCCGTGCATATTGTCTTGTACATTTATTATTTATTTCATTATGAAAATTCGGCATCTACTTGGCTGAAATGTATTCAATTTACCCTTGGGAAATACTTTAACAGATGCTAATTTAACCTTGGACGGAATGTATTTTTTAATTAATCACGTGAGCTTTAATATTTGGAATGCAAAAAAGTGCCTACGTGTATCCTTTGTATGAACGACTTTTTTCTAATTCTCCTAGTTTGTACTATATTTTTAACTTCCAACATTTTTACTAAAACTTGAACATCCTATTTGGATAGAACTAATGTTTTCAACCAGTTTTTTTCCTATAAAATTGATAGACTCATAGCAAACCTTTAGAAATACGAATTTCTAAGCGAAATTGCTTAATATTTGGAATAATTTATTTTATATCAAATGGCAGGTGTTTTGATAGTTACCATTAGC